TTAAATACCAACAATTATAGCCCATTGACCTTGATCTTGAAATTTGACCTACTTTTGAAAAACTTTAACCTTGGCGATTTCTTTTAAACAGTTGGTTCTAGCGCTTTCATACTTCAATATACAATCCATGTGACAAGACCTTACTTGGGATTCCAGCAACTTTGACCGTGGCTTTGGAGTTTGACCTACTTTTAAAAAACTTTAACCTTTGCCATATCTTTTAAATGGTTGGTGCTAGGGCTTTCACATTTCACATGTGTATTTCTTGTGAGAAGGCCTTTCCTTGGGCACCATTAATTTTGACCTTGACCTCGATGTTCGACTTACTTTTGAAAAACTTCCACCTTTTCTATATCTTTCCAATGGTTGCTGCTAGGGCTTTCATATTTCACAGGTATATTCCTCGGTACAATACCTTATTTTGGGTACCAGCATACATGTATTTAATTTGCACTGGAGAAAGTTTAACCTCCGCTATAAGTTGCCATACGGGGGCATCAGTGTTTCACAAACACAACCTAATTTTATTTTATAAACAACATTTCAAAATTTCAAATTAGCAAATGGTACACACATTTGGGAGGAAATATAGCAAAGACAAGAGGCCCGTGGACATTGGTAGTCACCAGTTTATAATAACTATTTTAGACTCTGATCAATTAGGACACACCAAAACCAGAAGTCTACGTTCGTGTTACAAAAATGTTCCCGTTTGGTAAGGATTATGTAATTATATGATATTTAAGCAGTTTGAGGTAAAGGAGTAATGAAAATTGCGTAGGCTTTATGACAATGTAGGCCCAAAAGGTCAAAGGTCTAAAATTCATAAATTCTGTCTGTTTTAACACTCGTTTCCGCGCGATATCTCGCGAATTCTTTAAGCTTTTGCAATGAAATTTTACGTAACATCTCTCTGTGGCCTAAGGAAGACCTCTCTGTATTTTGAGGTCAAAAGGTCAAAGTTGAAGGTCGTAAATTCACGAATTCCGTCTGTGTGTAACACTTTCGTTTCCGGGCGATATCTCAAAAACGCGGTTAAGTGTCGCTGTATAATAACAAAGATGCAAAAGTTCAACACTCAATGACATCTATACAATGGATAATAATAGTAAATGTTTTTTCTATGGCTTTTCCGATTTATCAGTGTTACATTTTACGAAACAAAGTCTAAATTCGCCAAAATATATCTGTGTACTGCCTTAACGTACCCACGAAGCTTTTGAGCTTTTGCAAAGAAATTTTATACCATAACTCCCTATGGCATCTCTCGCCCCTCTCAAAGTGTCCTGCTCCGTTTTTTTTTTTATTAATTGTATAGCAAAAGTCGCTTGGCACTATTTTTAGCACAGACGCATGTGGAGAGTTATTACGTAAAATACAGGTTGTTGACCAACTTTATATTCTAATTACATCTATTAAAACTGTTTAGTAAAGGCTAAATAAGACAATATGTATTCTGTAAAATTTTGACAATATCGAACGTGAATATAAACATATGTGACCTAATGTTTGCATTTAATCAGACTTAACTCAAGATGAGCTAAGTCATATTATGGAAATGAGTAGATCAACTTCTTGTTACATAGTCAAAGAAGCATAACTCTTACAACATTATCATTACTTACTTTTGATACTACCCTTTTGAAATGATTTGCTGTATAATCAAGTGCCTCCGTGGTCTAGGGATATGATGCTTGCTTAGCAAGTGAGAGGCTCGGGTTCAAATACCGGACAATCCAATTTTTATGTCCTGGGATCGAAAGATCCCGGGGGTATATTGTTTTTGTCCTGTCTGTCTGTTTGTCCGTTTGTCTGTCTGTCTGTTGTCAACTTTAACCTTGCCCATAACTTTTGATGGGTTGGAGCTATGACTTTCATATTTCACATGTATATTCCTTGGTGACAAGAGCTTTCCTTGGGTACCATCATATTTGACCTTGGAGTTTGACCCACTTTTGCAAAATTTTATGATACTTTAACCTTGGCCATAAGTTCTGAACAGTTGGTGCTTGGGGTTTCAAACTTCAAATGTGTATTCTTTGTGACAAAGCCTTCCTTTGGATACCAACAACTTTGACCTTGACCTTGGAGTTTGACCTACTTTTGAAAAACTTAAACCTGGGCCACAACTTTTGAATGGTTGGAGCTAGGGCTTTCAAACCATATGTAATCCTTGTGACAAGACCTTCCTTTGGATACCAACCACTTTGATCTTGACCTTGACGTTTTACTTGCTTTAAAAAAAAATTAACCTTCGCCATAACTTCTGAACAGTTCAGCTAGGTCTTTCAAATTTCACAGGTATATTCCTCGAGACAAGGCCTTTCTTTGGGTACCAACATTTTTTATCTTTTATCCTGGATTTTGACTTGCATTTGAGAAACTTTAACCTTCGCCATAAGCTGCCATACGGGGGCATCAGTGTTTCACAAACACATCTTGTTTTTAATTTTTTTTTTTTTTTAACTTAATGATACTATTCAACATGTGAAATAGAAAGTTATGACGTCTGGCGTGTACAAACTCATATAATCATTATTACAGTGTGATAAATATTCTATATATTAAAAAGAATCTTCTATACACATATTAAAGAATAAGCAATCAAATCTTTACATCCATATTGGCATTTTTTATTTGCTTCAGTATACATGTATAAATTTATTAATTCTACAAATCCAGAGGGAGGGGGGTCCGACACCCCCCCCCCCCCCCGAACTGCGCATGCTCTTCTCTTTTCCCTAAGCGGGGGACACAAATTCTCTGAATTAGCTTGTTCTGGTTATTTTTGTATGTAATCTTTACTAATATACACTAGAAGGAAAATTTTTACATACATATACACCTATGGAAAAGTTTTCATGATAAAAATGATTTACATTATAGTAATGTACCTTTCTTCAATATTTGAATTTAAATTAAAAACCATTTAAGTCATGGTGGCACAACAAAAGTGTTATGACAGATGGAGGGACAGATGGATAGTGATTCCCAGAGGGCTCAAGCATTTTCATGGGGGGGGGATTACAGCTGAGATAAAGCAAATGAATATCAAAGGTATTCCTAACAACAAGAATACATATAAACTGTAAAATAAATGTGTATCAACATATACCCTTTGCTGACAGAAGCATATCGGCATGATGTTCCATACTAGCTGCGAAAATTTGGGAAGAATCTCTGAGCCATGGTGACACTGAATATTTCCAAATAGTCATGTTATAATAAGCAAGAGAAACTTTTAAGCAATATAAAACTTGCTTAACACATTAGAATATGAATGATTAATTAGTTCATGTCTATATAAAGGCGATGTGCTACTTGTTACTGATTTATAACTTCCCTTCCTTATACAGCAGTTTACCCTTTCACCTGCATATAATGAAGCGCATTACAGTTTCTAATTGGTCCATGATTTTTTTCCAAAGGGATCTTCGATGTAATTGAGAGGATTACCATGCCTTTGGATGTCATCAACCTTTAAATAAAAGTGTTTTAACATCATATATCATTGAACATCTTTAAGTGAATATAGGAATACGTTGGATTTTTAAAAATATGTTCTGGTATTGTTGATTAAATGCAAACTTTTAAGAGTACTTTGACATTTTTGTTAGCTGAAAAAGTCAACTCTATTGAAGGACATATAACAACAGATGTAAATAATCAGAGACTTACTATATGCAAACAACAATGTGTCTTCTTTGCTCCTAGCTCTAGAATTTTACTCTCTACATATGCCATGTATTCCTCTAGTTCGGTCACTTTGTCAGATTTTGATTGCCGAACATGTTTTGAAACCAAAAATTTTAATCATTCATAAAATGAGTTCATGCATGTATATGGTATCTAAGTGAAAGACATGATTAGGCAGAAAATGCAGATGTACTACATCCATAATATGCAATTAAATTTGTTATTCCTTACCAGTGTTAGTCCTTCTAGAGCCTTGACATACGTCCTTTTTAGTCCGACAAAACCCATATTGTGAGGAGCGATTAGAAGCTAGTGAACAAAATGTAAAATCAAAGGGTTATTTTTTGGAGGTAAAATTAAGACCTGTAATTGAATTTTTAAAACGTTTTGCTAATTTTCAGAAAAGAAATTGGTATGTACACATGTTTTGAAATCTTTTCCCTGACGACTTTCAACATACTTTATGATCTCATTTATCATCCATTATTGGCCACTTGAATAAACTATCACTGGGAATGGGTTAAGGGGCTTAGAGAGTATCTTTGTCAGCGTTTTAATCAATTACAGCGTAAATGAAAAAGATGAAGATAATTTTATCATGGACATTTTTTTATATTGTTAATAATGCAAGACATTAAATAAAATTTAAGGTGGTACCAAAGCCCTATTAAAAATAATCTCGAATGAAGTTCATTATTTTGACCGGTCTTTCACTACTGTTTCAGTTAGTACATTAATTATTTACTTGTTTTTAATAAAACTTGAACAAATAATATACAATATACAAAAATATACAAAAAACACACGTGCAGTACAGCAATGGTATTGTCAGAGGCTTTTGGTTATGTTATACTATAATTTGTAAGTAAATTATTTTGAAAAATATCCTTCTTGATAACATATTTCTGTATTTGGAATTCAAATTTTTTAAAATGGATGTGTATTGGCAAGCGAGTCGTACTGCTATAAAAAGCCAGACCTATGATGTACAGCGTTGCTTTTTTTTTTAAATCAGATATCTGAGGTACAGTTGAGTTGTATGGATTTTATTAGAGAGGTTGAGATTCAATAGTGTTATAATAAAATGTCGAGTAAAGAAATTCTCTACAGAAAAATTTGTATGTCTAAGCACTAATACAAGTATAAAGGAGGTGTACAGGTGTAAGGTCTCAAACTCTCTATCATCAAATACTTAGGGAATTGGCTGATTAAAAAAATTGATAGGTATTTGACATCCGTTTTGGTCATTATGCACTCTATGTCTATTGTATTGTACAGAGGCAGTGAAGCGTGTTTGGAGGAACATGAGGGCTGACCTCAAAAGAAATAGAGAGGGGAAGATGGAGCAGAATCGACGCAAAAATAGAGAGACCAAACGCAAAAGATGTGTACGTATTCTATTTCATAATCAACTGCTATGCTATCCATTTCTCCCTGTTTTAAAAAGTCTTTGCGTAGGCCATCTTTAAGATGTTTGCTTGCCCTCTCCCGACCCAGGATGAAAAATTGGGCTCGGTAGGTAGGCGAGAATTTTTTTTTTCCTGGAAAGTACCAACATCAATGCTGAGTTTTCAAAATATGTTATTCGGAATGAATAAAAAAAATAATTGTTACCTTAAGGTTAAAAAGGTTTTGAGTCGGAGTATTTTTGGCCAGTCGGTCGGGAGAGGGCAACCGAACAATTTTTTTTTAAAGATGGACCTTTCATGCTATAAACATAAGTCTATGTTTTATTGAATTAACCTAATTATCTGATTTGCATTTTTTTTTCACTGCTTATCTTGTTCCTAAAATTATCCTCATTCAAGCAATCTCTTGACTATATGCAGCTGTAATTGTAATTGACTAAGTGGTAAACAAGTTTTAGCATTGCTATTTTTTTAAATACAAATGCTCATTTTTAATTATATAACTATGTACAACTAAATTTTTATAAGAAAGACGGTACACACATGGCTAGTAAATACGTCACAGCGGTGATTCTCATTATTTAGCTAATGATGGATTTTTTTAAACAATGTATATTTTATGAAAATAAAACAAAAGGTAAAAAGAATAAGAGGTGGATAATTATTTTAAATTGGAGTCCCACATATTTGAATGTTACTGTACCTTTTCATGTATCTTTTAATGATATGTCAAATACTAACCTTTTTACTTTAGTTGTAGAAGTTGAAGAGCAGACTGGTCCAAGTCGGAAGGGATATGTATTTCACAAAGGAGGAGAAGAGGTCCATGAGGAAGGCATTCGCGGTCGAATCAATGTCGCCTGAAGTAACAGACGACGAGGACGAATCAAGGAAGGTGTCAATCCCATTTCAATGGGAGTCGTCCAGGATGACAGAAATCAAGAGAGAAATAGACCAAGACTACCGTAAAGCCTTGACAGCCCAGTCACGCAGACAGAAGGCTTCCGTCAACAGGAGCTCTACTCAAGTAATGAGAACATCTCCTCCCAAAGAAATTCCCAGCTGAGCTGTGTCCTCCACCTATCGCGGCTTTACATTCAAGCATTTGGATCTTTAAAGGCTTCGGATTCGTTTTGATTCAATATTTATTTATTTATTTATTTATGTAAAGTGTTATTGTAATTCCATTTCATGTGTGAAAGAAATCAAGTTATGGGAAATTGTTAATTTTTATAGATGCTTATATATATATATATATATATATATATATATATATATATATATATATATATATATATAACATATGTATTAAGTAATTGAATGGACTGAACTTCAATCTCAAACAACTAGTTTTTTTTCATGTCCTATAAAAATTGTGTACGTATATACTTAATGAATTTGAATGGAATGTTGATCATTGAATTAAATATTCCTAGAACACTAGTACTGTGGGTGTTTTTATGATGCAAAATGAAAATAGAAGAAAAAAACTGTTTTGGTTGAAGAACAAAATCTATTTTGTATGCAACTGCAAATATAAGTATATATATATATATATATATATATATATATATATATATATATATATATATATATATATATATATATATATATCAGTACTATCATTGAAAAGCTGGGCTGAATTATATATTCGTTACTACCAGTTTACGTTGCGGAAACCTAAAGTACACCATATGTATATCGACTGTTTATTTATGCTGAAACCTTGCGTGTACTTCAAGTTTCATCATGTTTTTGTTGCGGAAACCCATGGTACACCATATGTATTTCAACCTTATACGCATACTGAAACCTTGCGTATACCTGAAGATTCAGTTTGTTTCAGTTGCGGAGACTATCTTGATTGTGGATACCTTTGGTTTCCGCACTGCGGAAACTAGATGAAACTTGAAGTTTCAGTGCAGGAACTTAGTAGGCTATTAGTAGGCTTAATTTTCCGCAGAGTTTCAGCCATGCGGAAACGGTACTTTTCATCCAGTGTAGTCATTGCGTAATAGAGTTTGTAAAAACAATATCGGAGATGGACCTTATTTAAGCCCACCAGCTGATTCCGCAAGAAAACCTGCTTAGTAAAGGGTAAACTTCATTCAATGAAATAGATAGGTAGCTTACGTCTGACCAAGTCTGTATTTGTAGCCTCGATATCAGCATCCGTTTAGTAACTTTTTTATCCGTGAGATAAAAGACTAATATATGCATTGCCAGAAGAAGAAAAATGCTTGCAGTTTAGCAGACTTACGTTGTTTATCACCCTTAATTTCTTTGTTGGTATCTTAGTCTTATGGGTAGGTGTAAAATAATACTCATTGTGTCAAGCAGAAAATTATCGTCATGCAGCTACAGCTTGTATTGCTTGAATGAAACACTAGCACTAATCATTGAAGATGTATATAAAAAATGTAATATTTATATAAAAAAAAAATAAAATAGGATGATTATATACTTTTATCGTTGAAAACTGCAACTAATTTGAACAAACGTATTCCATCAGTTTATGTGTTCAAGGCGCGGGAAAATGCATAATGTAATTTAATGAATATTCATGAGACGAGAAATGTATTAGGAATTAATCGCTGCACCCATCAACAAAATGTCTTTAAAATAACTAAGTATTTGTTAACTATGTACAATTTATTCTCAAACATCTAATTAAACTCAATTTTGTCTGCAAAAACCGCTGCTAGGGTCCCCGTGAAAATAGGCTGTTGTTTATTCACGACAGCAGGACTGTGGCAATATATAACCACCGTCTAAAAAAGAAATCACCAAATTCATCCTTTTTTTCCTTCCTTTCACTTTAAATCTGTTCCCGTTCGTATACCGGAGTATGTAATACTTACTCGGAGAAATAGTTACCTGCAATCCAATCCAGTAATGAATGTAAGCTAGCTGTGATTTGGAATTTGGAATCTTTCTATTTTTTCTCTTTATTGTAGAGGATGCTATCGAACACTTCAGAGACTATTTCCTTTGATGCTCTAATTAAAATAATCTATGGAAGTGGCTCCTTCCATTTCTTCTTCTTCACTCTTGTTTTCTTCTATTATTTTTCTCTTTTAATGATTGTCTACCTTGTCAGATAACCTGTCTATTCTGGAGTTTACTTCACTAATTTTGTTGGAAAGCGCGTTGAATATGTCCGGTTTCAACTCGTTATCAATTTTCTTATAGATCTCGTCCAATGAGCTTCTAATTTGGAACATCCTCCGTCAGATTCCATTTTCCTTTCATGCCTGATACCAACGTCCTTAAAATATACAACTGAACCTCCCGGGAGTCTCTAAGACAAATTCTCTTACGGCTTCATATTTTGCGTCGTTCTTACCTACGCAGTACAGTTAAGGCAACATTTTCTATAAAAAGACACTGAAAACAAGACACTTGAAGTTTAACCGTCTTATTTTCTAGCATACGACTCTACTGAAAATATCTTTGTGTCTTCTTGAAGAGTGTGTCCTTCGCTTTTAATATTGATATTTTTTGTCATCATGTGACCCTTAGTAGTCACGTGGGCTCCTACTTTAGCTCAAGATATAAAATATCAAATTTAACCGAAAAGTTCAAGGGCAAGGCAAAGAAAAATTACACTGCACAAGGTTTCAATGTGTCCCCAAATATCTATCCTATCTCAAAAATAATGCTCATTCAGTTAGATTTCTGGTATTATTTAGTTATTCAGTAAAAACAAAGACCGGTATTGAAAAAATAGGGTACTTTCCGCATTTCATGTGAAATAATAAATTACTTAGCGAATTACAGAGAAATGAGCATCACTTTTCAAAAAGTATGCAGTAAAATAAACAATTTAATACAAAAACCTAACTCTTCATATGTCGCCTTGCCCTTGAACTTTTTAGTTTAAAATCGAAGTCTTGAAACATTCATTCTAAATATAGTTTTCAAACGCATTAGTGACCCGGCACGGGAGGTAACTCTTTGGTATTTGTAGAGTTTGTTTACCTCGCGAATTTGAACATGTAACGTCTACAGACTATGCTAGGCTTTATTCTACTTACTCAAAACGGTATGCATATAAAGATCTTGACTTTAATTACTTTCCTTTGTATGTCTTCGTCCTTTTCATACACCAGACAAGACCTTGTTGAATACCTTCCGCATTTTCTCGATGATCTAGGCCTTTATCATGTACGTATATACATGTATAACAATCAAGTTTATCGGAACTGCCGCAAAGTACATCATATAAGTAAGATTGAAAAAAAAATGTCCATTACTAAATTTCAATCATTTCTGATAAACGTGTAGATCTCCCCTCCCTCATATGATGAGAAACCATTCATCCCCCCCCCCCTACACACAGACATAATAAAAAATATATATCTACAACAGAATGAAGTTTCACATATGGGTTTTCCTCAGTGGCTCTCCAAAATCTTCTTTTGTTTAAGAGTTCCTGTTGGCTTATAAATTACTCAGATATAAAAACAAGGTGAGGGTTATTTACACCTGTTAATATAATTAGTTCTATCCTCCTTTCTGCCTATCTAACCCCTTATATTTTGCTTCTTAGCTCCCTTGATGAAAGGACAATGATATATACTTGGGCATTGTTAACTTGTAAACATCATGATCTAGTTTTTATTTATTAGGATATAACCATTGTACATGTATCTCATTTAGAGCGGGTGCTTTCATTTTGTTTTTTAAAGGGGGGGGGGGTTCTTTTCCTGTGATAAACTAAAGCTTAGGGATTGATATTTTCTCCAAAAAAAAATGAAAGCACCCGAACTAAATGATATAAAAATGTAATCAGAAAATAGATACTTCCTTGATACAAGTGATCATGATAAATATGTAATTATGCCAATATTAGGCTTTATTTGGTTCAATGTATCTAAAACACCATGTTCATGCAAGTCTGGATTTTCACACCTTTACAGCCTTCAAAGCTGACATTCATATCACTGTTGCCATTGAAAGATAAAGTTAAAGTATTATTCATCTAGTAAATTTATTTAATAACTACAGCTTCTCCCATACAAAGCCAGGCTGTGAGGGTAATTCTGAGCAGGTGCATAGTTTTTCCATCAAGACATGTACTCTGGGATAAAATCCATTCTAAAAAAAAAATGAAATATTATTAAGTGTGCTGGTGATTAAAACAGTAAAACTTGAAACAATGTAATGAGTAAAATCTAATGAAATCACATAAAAATGTATCAAATATCTGTAACTCTGCTGTTTTTATTTATTAAAATAATTTTTAAAATAATAGTGCCATGAATATGTGTGTTGTTGATATCATTAAGCATACCTTTTTACTTGGTCCATACACTTGCTGCCTGTGTCAACACTGGAATGGTTCAAATTCTTTGTGAACAGCTACTGTAACATAAAATATACCAAAAATGTAATGAGTCAAATACATACTAGTTAAAATAAATGGCACTGCAATGTGCAAAACAAACCATGCAATACAACATTTTCTAAAATTCATGAAATCTTTTGTTACAAAACTTCTCTGGGAATTTTAAAACTCTGCCATTTGCAATTTAGCAAATTAAGCTTGGAAAATAACTGATTAAAGGAAACAAATTCATAAATGAAATTCATCTGTTCAAAATTGAAAAATTATTATATTGGCATACAATAAAATCATTGTGAAATATATTAATAGTGAACATACCATGTTTAGAAATTGTTGCATATGTTTTCTGTAGATAACTCTGGATTATATGCATGCAGCACCTGACAGCTACAATGATGAAAAAATTGTACATCATGTATTCAGACCAGAAAAATAAAATAACATGATATTCAATTTTAAATTTAGAAATATCATTCTACAGATTTAGAATTTCATAATACAGATGCTAAGAATTATTTTAAAGTATGAAACACTAGCTGGTGAAAATTTAAACTTTAAATCCTATTTTTGATTTACAGGACTGGGGTATAAAATGCATACATGCATGTATATTACATACACAATACAGTTTCACTTTACAGAAATATACACTTTATGGATGTGCTAAATTATCAATTGATATACTGCTTTCCTTTTCAAATAACATATTAAGATGATTGTATGTCAACATAATTATATGTTTAGTGAATCTTTTATCAATGATTGAAATTGAACAATAATTAATTTTAATAAATTTAACAGCAAACTTTTGCATGCCTGAAGATCTCCATGATACATAGCCTACATTCTCTCAAAAATTAGTTGAACGACAAGGAATTGCATATTCAGTGCAAATTAAACTGTTGGTGTGCAACTTCATATCATGTTTGTGTGTGTAAGGGGAGGGGGGGGGGGGTTATACACAGCTCCTGGGCACTGCCAATATATCTTCCTACATGTATACGTATTATACATACACATTCGATTATTTCATATTGATGTTAACAATAGTATATCTAAATCTTGATACCTATGCGTACATAATATACGAAGCTAAATATGAAAACCCCTGCAGCTGCCCAGGGTAGAGAGGTGGGGTGCAATAGCCTCAGTAGTCCATGATTTCTCTAAATATCTGCCGCATCTGATAAACAAACCATAAATCTGTTACTTTATTACTGTTCTCTTTAAAAGATTTACCTGTTTGCTGTATTTTCCACCGCAAATCTCAGCTGCTGTCTCCACGTCCTTTATGTAAACAACATTCCGTGTCACTGAGTGCAAGCGCTTGGCTGAAGCCGAGTGCAGCCAAACGACACAATGAAAGCGAATTATTTCGACAACATGATGTTCTAAACAAGAGAAAATCACTACTTCTAATTTATTTAAAGACAAGAATACGGACATTTGTTACAAATTCTTGCAATTGTCGTTAAATAGTTATTTTGAGCTCTAATTCCTTATATAGGTATATCAGGGCGGAGCGACTGTCATGACGTCAAACCTCATTATGACCTCATTACCATAAAAGTTTCATGGGTAGCCTTAACTGTACTGCGTATCAAAAATGATACAAGTTGTAATATGCTTGCTATATATAACAATGTTTCACTATGTCAAATAAATTACCTTCTGATAGTTATTCTTTCTCCATTCTACTAGGGAATCTGTAATACATTGCGAAATAATTATAAGTGGTATAAGGAGATTCCTCTTCAAATAACCAGGATTACAAACCATCAAGGTCAAGAACTCCCGTTGAGCAAAGAGATTACGATAAAAAAACAAGGTACAGTTTTAGCCAAGGTTTGCCCGGTGATCTTCTAAAAAATTAGATATGTTTATTTAACTCTTTCTTTTGTTATTCAATAAAAAAATCCTCATAGACACCAGCACAAATCAAAAAACAAGAACACGAGTACGCATGCGCAATACAAACTGTCAAAGAGATTAATCTTTTGCTCATTTGTCATTATTTGCAAAAGTCAATACCTCCGTAGTGATCGCCCACGATTAAATTTTGACAGAATGAATATGAAATGTAAATTCATATTCAGTCTTAATTTCATCGTGGGCGAGGACTGTGGACATGATTAAATCTTTAAAAAAAACCCAGTTCGATCAATTTCTAATCGTAACGGGTGCCATGTCGGTAGTGGATATTATAATGTCTAGAATTATAATCTCAATACAATGATTTCAAGTTAGTTGAAAGCAGTGTATCTTTTAAGTGCTCAGTATAGCTAATAATAGTGTCTTGGCATACCTTTTAAGGAATGTTTTTAAGTTTTGTGTGAGTTACTGGTGTGTAAATCAAACAGACCTGCACGTAGGCATATTTCATGAAGCGCACAATAACATGAATAATTCACACTAAACTTAAAAGCTCAGAGCAAACCGCAATTCTAGAAATGCAGTGAAGACTGTCTTTGAAGGTAAACTTATATGCATATTTTATGAATTAATTATGCCAGTTCTACAGTTTAAGTACAAAGTGAATAATTATTTTAAAAAAGGATGCTTGTCTGAAGGCCATGACATGCATCCAAAATTGATATATCCCAATTGAAATATTGTTAATACATGTATTACATGTTTTATATTTTCGGAGTTTTCATGTTTTGTTTTGTAGAATGAGCCATTTAGAAGACTTTTCTCACCGCAGGAACCCACTGTTGGTATGAATAATTAATTTTGTATAATCCAATAAACAATCAGATTCACAGAGGGTACCTGTATGATGTTGAGGAAATAAGTGTTTTGCATGAAAAACATTTAACAGCTCAGCAGCCTTTTATGTTCTTTGACTTGGAAACAACAGGACTAGGTGTGTGAATAATTTTATTAACTTTGGAAACAATAGAGATGCAACATCTTTGTTTTGGGCATATATATTTCATATCTGCAAATTTTGAGAGAAAAAAATCATTTTACTTGTCCACAAATGTTTTGTTATCTTTATGCAAAATAATATATGGCATTTATTCATCCTAAGCACTTCCTTGTGTTGTATTGTGATATATTTTCAGTCTAAAGATAATTTTTTTACAGAGTCTAAAAAAAGTGTCGAATTGTAAAAAAAAAGTTGCAGAATCAGAACTCCGTAAAACCTTATTGAAAAAAATTGTTTCACTGAATGATTTAGTACCTTATGTTATTATAATGTCTCAATGTGTTCCATTACAGGGCGTACTTCAGATATCATTCAGATAGCAGCTGTCTGTAATTATGAAACTTTTAATACATATATATTCCCTACTTAGCTCATACGTCCTGGTGCATCATCAGCCACTGGTGTCAGTTTCAAAGATGGACAACTAAAAGCATTGAAGCAGTTAAGCAAAAGGATTTCTTGCATTGGTGAAGAAATTTACTTATTCTTGCATCGTAGGACATAACATTAAAAACTTTCATATGCCTGTCCTCATTAATTCTTTAGAAAAATATGGTCTTTGTGAAACTTTAAACCGAAGTATTTCAGATTTTAGTGATACGTTAGTTATTGAAAGAGCATTATACAAAAAGGATGGAGTAAACGAACTGTTTGAACATTTCAGTCTGAATGAAAATCAATTAAATGATTTTGTTTTCCAACTGTCTTATTTTGCTTGTAAATCTAGTCTCCAAGCATTAGTTGAGAAAAAGGTAACAAAATGTGTGCAACAAACTTGCTGCTTGTTCCCTAGGGATGTCTCAGCTAAGGAAAATTCACAACCGTGATGATGTGAATGGTATCGCTAGCATTTTAAAATAGTGCAAGATTGCAAAGAAATGTTCCATTGCCAAAAAAAAAAAAAAGATTGATAGTGCTTATATTATGATGTGTACCGGTATTGAACATTTTATGCATAGAGTTGGATTTTTAATTTTTGCTACATGTAATTGTGAGAAATTTCAAATACTATTTGTTGAACTTCATCATTTTTGTGCAAAATATTGCATATTTTCAAGATATGAACTTTTTCAATTGTATACCTGTCAGATATGTGCAGAGTATTTGGATTTTAAATTTTCATAATTTGTGAAAAAAAAAACGCAAATAAAATTTCTTGAATTGAGTCATTTTAATGCAGAACATGTGTATATTGATAGAAATGCAGGAGCTGTAAAAAACACGTTCTGGTCACCTTGATTGCTTATCACTTCATAAAAATGGAGTTCGTGCTGACCCAGACAAGGTCAAGGCAGTGAAGAATATGCCCACTGATATAAAGGTATTAAGATCAATTTCATTTTGTATAATTAATTATGTGTTTTTTTTCAACAATCAATTTCCAGAGTGTCATGTCTCACAAAGATGACTGATAGTTGCAAACTATTTTTTCAATGTAATAAAAAACACTGTAATTATTAGTATTGATGTTTTATTAGGCAGCACCTTAGTTTCTTCATTACAACAATATAATGAGTAATTAAAATTTAAAATGAAAAACAATCAATTTGCAGAGTGTCATGTCTCACAAAGATGACAGATAGTTGCAAACTATTTTTTCAATGTAATAAAAAACACTGTAATTATTAGTATTGATGTTTTATTAGGTAGCACCTTAGTTTCTTCATTACAACAATATAATAAGTAATTAAAATTAAAAATGAAAAAAAAAACACCTGTAAAATGCAAAAAAATTATCCAGTCATGATGAAAATACCAAGTGCACACCTACATATGGCGAATAAGTGTAAATTTTCAGACAAATCCTTGCAACAGTTTCCAAGGAATGGTCCGGACAAAATCTCGTCTACAGACAGACGGACAGATAGATGGACATGCTGATTCCAATATACCCCGTTCACCTCCCAAAGGAAGGTCTTCTTTGGCTACATCCATCAGAGCAGAACGATGAATCAGATTATGTCGAACGACTAAGGATATCAATGAAGAAGTGTGGGGATCTTGCTCGTCAGAACTTGAAGAAGGCATCCAAGAGTCAAAAAGACTGCATGACTTCAGGCTGTATGAGAGGACATATAATATTGGTGACCTTGTCTACATCAAGAATGACGCTAAAAGAATGGGAAAGAGTCCAAAACTTCAGCCTCTCTGGAAAGGACCAGCAGTTGTCTCCAAAAGGTTGGGGCCAGTTTTGTATAATATAATAACGAAAAAGGGTTTTACCACTCTTCATCATGATCGCCTGAAGCCATGTCAAGTTGATACACTGCCAAGATGGATTGCCAAAGTTCGTCGCCAGTTAAAATATTGTATGGACTTTGACGAACTTTTCAAAGAATGTACAGATAAAGATGAGGATAAGCAAGGAAACAATGGTGTTTGGACCACAGAATCAAGCCTACAGAACGAGGGGAAGGCATCCAGGAAGGATGATGCAGTAGTCCCTGTTACGGAGAAACCAACGACCAAGGAGCTGGACCAAGGAGTAGTCATAAGGCATTGAAGAACAGTAAAACGCCCACAGAGATATGAAAACTAAACTAAACATTTTGCTTTGTATTCTTTTATTTTTAAATGTTTATTGAAAATGTAACATTTTCTGTCTTAGGAGGGGAGTAATGTAGTGTAATTGCGTATTTTCCGTCGAGTTCGGTGTGTCAATAATTGTGTTGTTCCAAAATTAAACTCTGAAGTAGACAGACGTGTTTCTTGTTCTCTCCCGGGGTTTGGATCCACGTGGTGCCAACTAGGACCTACACCATTGCAAAAGCACCTCAATTTTACCGACTTTTATCTTTGTAAATTTCTTAAAGTCGGTTAAAGTGGTATCACAGTTCATGTTTTATTTGTTATATTGTATATACTTGTCGACTATAAATGATTTTTACTTGATTTGACCGCCACGTCAGGGCCGAGGTGTCGGACATGACGGGTTGACGTTGGGCCGTCTGTTAATCTTTAAGAAGCATGTAACATACAATTAATACTTCAAACAACTTAAATTTACACTTACCAAAGAGCCTGTATCTTGTCTCTTTACAAATGTACATTTCATATATATTAGGTCAACATGATCTGAACATGCTGTCTGCAGGCCGCAGCCATATGTTGCATTACGTGATGCAGCCGAGGTTACATGAGGTACGAATCGGTTGAGTGGACGAACGCATGTAGATTTCTCTGCAAGAAAGCCAGATTGAATCCGTTGTAAATGGTGTACGTAATCTTTGTATTTTTTTAAAGCAATGAAAATAAATAACAATTACCTTTCCCGCATTTCATAAATAATATCCTGCATAATGACCCGAACCCCGTGTTGAAGAGTCCGTTAAATGTAAACACGTAATGAATCA